TTTCTTTTCACACACTAGGCACTTCCCTCTTCTCTTCCACCAAGTCAGTCTTCTGTCCTGCAAATGTCCCATGCATGCCCGCCTCCTCCACAGAGCCTTCCCTGACTGCAAATGTCCCATGCATGCTCACCTCCTCCACAAAGCCTTCCTTAGCTGCAAATGTCTCATGCATGCTCACCTCCTCCACAAAGCCTTCCTTGACTGCAAATGTCCCATGCATGCCCACCTCCTCTACAAAGCCTTCCTTGACTGCAAATGTCCCATGCATGCCCACCTCCTCTACAAAGCCTTCCTTGGCTGCAAATGTCCTGTGCATGCCCACCTCCTCTACAAAGCCTTCCTTGACTGCCAATGTCCCATGCATGCCTACCTCCTCCACAGAGCCTTCCTTGACTGCAAATGTCCCATGCATGCCCACCTCCTCTACAAAGCCTTCCCTGGCTGCAAATGTCCCATGCATGCCCACCTCCTCTACAAAGCCTTCCTTGACTGCAAATGTCCCATGCATGCTCTCCTCCTCTACAAAGCCTTCCTTGACTGCAAATGTCTCATGCATGCTCACCTCTACAAAGCCTTCCTTGACTGCAAATGTCCCATGCATGCTCTCCTCCTCTACAAAGCCTTCCCTGGCTATGTGCACAGGATTTTCCTATATCCATGAACTCAGATGTGAGCACCACCTGCTATGGTCATCATGCTTGCCTCAAAACTCAATGTGAAAACTAGTAAATATTAGTAACAATTATTAATAACATAATGTAATGCTTTCCACAGCCTGCCTTCCGACTATAAACTGTGTTCTATAAACATGAAAATCTCTAAATTAAAGCAATCTCAAAGCCACTGTTCTTGGTTCTCTCTATACAGTTTGACAACGAACAGATAACAGGATCCTAGGACTGAGCCCATCTGACAAACGCAGTCTATACAAAGAGGAACAAGTGGAGGAGAACTGTTGGTCACTACTGTCACTACTCAGGAGTGGCTGACTCAGCTGACTACCATCTTTGCCTAATACCTCTCCTGAATATAAACATGATACAAAATAAATACAACTAGCTGGAAAAATAAATGGGAAGGACTTCATAATCTTAAGAAAAAAATCTTAACTCATAAAATATAAAATCCTTTGGAGACCTCTTGTGGTTAAAGTTAAGAACAAAAAGTTAAAATTTTTTAAAAATGTTTTGAAAACTGCTACATTAGAATCTTCTATAATTCTAAGCGGTTTTTGCATTTTCTCACACAGCATTAATAGAGACGGTCTTCAATGTTAATAAAATACCCCCTAGGGCTTTGACCTTCCGACTGTGCAGAGGAAGGTGGGGGTATAGAGAGACAGTCGGTCTGAGAGCTAAGAAATGCACATCAGCATTGGCAACAGACAACACCAGACACTAACTTCGCACCTGAAAACTCGGTGCTCCGCTCTTGCCTGGGAGCCGCCCAGGACCAGAGGTCTGGCCAGCTGTTCTTCAAACCTAACCACGCTCCCTGCTACAGCGCTTTCTTGTGCATTTGTCTGCGGGGCTTGGATGGCTGAGTAGAACACAACGAGCCCACCCTAGGAGCTGCTGTCCCGTCAGTCAAGGCCCATGAGCTCTGTAGACATTAGAGTGAGGCCACTAGCTCTAATTTAAAAATGAAGGTAGGAACTCACCTCATGCAGTGAAGTAAAGACAAACGCAAATTTAAAATTGAACACTGCAGATAAAATTAAGAAAGAAAAAATAATTTGGTGGAAATAAAATATGGATGAAAATAAAGGCAAAGTGCTTTCAAAATGGAAAAAGATGTTTTGAAGATAAAAGTAATAGAATGTTACCAGAAGCAAGGAGACTTAATTGGTCCAAATAGACTATTAAAAACAAGTAGAAATAGGAAATTAAAATGTTTTTTAAAATGAGTTTACTTTCCTGCAAGGTGCGTGGCAAGTCCCACCCACTCCACCTCCGTCTCTCCCATGTGCACACACACAAGCCAGGGGTCAACAGCAACAAGAAGGGGCCTCTATCAGGAGCCATGGATCATCCCAACTCCTGTCCTAGCACAAGGATTACAGAACCCATCACCACACACAGCTTCCCACATGGGTGCTGAAGAACTGAACTAAGATCCTCACGCACAAGCATGTGCAAACAGCAATCATTTTATCCACGGCACCTTCTCCTCAGCCCTGAATTAAAATAGAAGTTCTGAATGTTTTTAAAGACTCATAAGATTGTTTTTATTTTGAAAAAACCAAGGGTCAAAACCAACAAAAGCAACATTACAGTAGCCGGGAAATTATATCCTAAGGACATGCACAAAGAAAAGGCTAAGAAGGCACAATGAACTCTAATAGACTTTTCAGAAGACTGCAGGAGTGAGGTGTGTGCAGCTGTAACCCCAGCATCCAGTAGAGGAAGCAGGAGGGTCAGGAGTCCAAGAAAATCCTCAGATACACAGGGAGGGGATCCAGCCTGGCCACATGAGGACCTGACTGAAAAAAGAAAATAGTATGGACATGTATCCTACATCACCTCTGCCCCCGCCCCAAAAAAAACAAACCAAAAATGAGTAGGGAGAGGCAATATTAGAAGAGAAAAAGGTCCCCAGCATCTGAATCCTGGGTCCCCAGTCAGTGGTGCTGTTTGGGGGCTCTGGAGGTGGGGTCTTCTGGAGGTGGGGTCACTGGGTCACGCACGGATGGTTAAAGGCTTTGGTTCTAGCTCACTCTGTTTTGCACTTTGTGGTCCAAGTTGTGAGCCCTCAGCTCACATTCAAATAAACCCTTCTTTGTATAAAGTACCTAGCACATGGTGTTTTATCATAGCAACAGAAAAGTAACTAAGACAGTTATGTTCCACTACAAAGAGTTTTCTTAGCCAGGCCCTTTACCCATATTATCTTCACAACTGACCTCTGCAGCAAGCGTCTTATAACCCCTATCTTATAGTCTAGAACAGAGTTAGACGAGACACTTGAGTGATCTACTCAAAGTTACTAAAGCGAAGAGACAGATTTCTATTTCAACCTGCTATTTGACTCTGACATCTGAAAATCTACCAGCTCCTTCTCTATAGACATATAAATTAGCTACAGATACTCATCGAAATGGATGCTTAATTCTCGACTCTTCATGAACAAAAGGTACAAAAAAAATACCCCAAGAGTGGGGACTTATGTGGTCAGTAAATGTAGGCAGGATTACAATCCTAGAATGCTAGCTAGAGAAATACAGTAAAATGGCCGCAAGTCGTTAGACTCCCAAGACCCCATCAGCCACCCAGGATGTCTCCGGCATGCCAAATTCAGGCTCCAGAACCTCATCGGACAAGGAACACTGAGGAACGCCATCAGGTAAAGCTCCTTGCCAAATAAACTCCATCTTGGCACTGTCTGCTACTACACAGGTTTTGGCATTTTAATGACTTTTGCCTTTATTTTTATAAAAATAAATGGAAAATAGAAAACATGATGACTAAATGACCAAGTTCCAGGTTAATCTAAATTAATCAAATATACACTTATTTATAAAGAAAATGAGCAAAACCAAACACAGAACACTGTACATGTGCTTCCGTCTAGAAGCATCTCTTCAAAGGGATTGAGAAGGTATTCATGTTTTACCTCTCCAGGGTCAGCACCCCTCATAAACAGACTGTGTGGCTTTCCACTGGCCAAGTTTAAACACAGAGGAAAACTAAGAGCCAAATAAAGGGATTTGATCCAGAAGTCTCTACCCATAATGTAATAAAGATTATTTAAACGATGACTGTAAATGTTTGACAGAGTTCCCCGAGTGCTTGGGCCAGCATCCAAAATCTTTAGAAGTGTTTGTAATTCTGACGTAGAAATTCCACCTTCAGGAAAGAACTGAAAATGCATGCCCAAGTTTCCACAGATGCTAGCCAGAGCAACATCTGCCGAGCTGAAACAGGAAACACAACAAAAAGCAACGGACAAATCTCACCGACTTGTACAACGGATGTCATACGGCGTCTTGTTGTGAGGTGCTTACAGAAATATTAGCAGACAAGTGACGTTCACTGAGCTCTGCCTGAGAAGGGTGAGGATGCATGAGATGCTCTGAGCCAGGGCACGCTGGCACTGGCTGATGGACGCCCGGCAGGCACCTCAGTGCACTGTTCTGAGTAAGTTCTTGTGTATGCAATTTCCCATAAGAAAACGGATAGGAAATGTTTAAGTTAAAAAACTGGCACAAAACTTTATCTGCTACATGAACACACGTTTATAAATAAAAAAATTAATACATATAAAGGAATAAAGCACCAAAGGGCAGTTATTTCTGGATTTACGGAACTGGGTTTACTTTATCTTTCTTTTGTAACTCTTAATTTTTCTCAATGAATGTATATTAGCGATTTCACCAGAAAGACAAACTGTGAAAGCTACTTCGACAAAAAGAGAAAAACGTAAATGGAAATGAACTCTGAACTCCAAAGGCAAACATGTGCTCCCTGTAACTCAGTTAGACTTGCCCAGTGACTTGTGGGCCTGCTAGCTGGACACCCGACAGCCATCCCTTCCCGTAGACAGCCCTCTTCACTCCTGAGCAGCCCACGCCTCGCTGCCCTTTCCAGCCACGCTCTTCCACCGAGACTCCTTCCTGGGGAATAGAATCCAGTGAGGCAGCTACAGCCTCACACATGCGTGTTCCCCTCTACCTGCTGTGGTGCCCGTACCCTGCTTCATAACGAGTGCTGTGATATGAGTCCTAGTAAATAAAACTACCGGACACCACCCTGAAGAGAAACATGCAGTAGAGAAATTATATAGACATTTGAAGAAATAAGTTCTAAACTACCTCTAGACTGTCTACATAAATCATCAAATAATATAATTGAATCCTTTTAAAATGACGGTCACCTATAGGCCTACACAATTTTTTTTTTCTTTTAGAAACTCTATAACTGGGCTATAATTACGATATGTAATTTCCGTAAGAACAGTATTGGCTTGGGAACCACTCCAGTTTGGGAGCGGCCAGGACTCACCTGACAGCAGTGGCCCTGTGGATGAGCATCTCCGTCTGCTCCGACAGCTGGGTGGGGAGCAGCAGCTCCACGGGCTGCAGGCTTGACAAGCGAGTCTCCAGCTCCAGCCTGGAGGCTGAGTCCTGGAAGCAGTCGAACAGGACCTCGCCCGTGGCCGGCTGCACTCCCTGGAAGCGAAGGCACACATGATAGATAGCACCGAGCACAGACACTCTCCCAGCCGCACGGGCACACCACGGCATGGGTCTAGTAATGACAGTCTTGTCAACCTGTGCTCCGTTTCTAAAGTGAAAATCTGTCTGCCTTTTAAGACTCTTACCTAAGTTAGCTTCGCAGGCGTCTAAAACAGGCTGAGGAGAGGGCTCAAACAGATAATGGGTTCCGCCACCGAGCCTGAGGACTGAGTTTGATCTCTACAGGGTTCACATGGTGGAAGGAGAGAACATGCTCCCAAAGTTGTCCCCTCACCTCCACATATTTGCCATGTGCACATACGCACATGCGCACGCTCAAGATAAATAAATAAGTGAATAAATAATACAAGAGGCTTCAGCGGGAGTTTCAGGAGGCACTCAGAACAGGTTGGGACCTGATGTACCTGACAGAGTACTATGACAAGTCACCAAGCCCTGCTGGGCATCAGCTTCCTCTTCTACACGTGGAAATGCATTATCAACTTCCCTCAGCGGGTTGTTACAAGGATCAAACCAGACAATCAGTGTGTGAAAGCTCTCACAGCTTCGCCCAGTACAGAGAGCAAGGTTCCACAACAGAGTGCCAGTGAAGACACCTGATGGCAGAGAAGTTAACATTCTTGCACAACAAAAACCAGACGTAACAAAAGAAGAGTGAAACTCACCTACTATTCAGTTAAAAAAAAAAAAAAAAAAAAAAAGCCAAGACAAAACCATCACTTGACAGTTACCCAGTGTAATAACAGGAAGAAAATCTGAAAGAGCCGAGGTTTGGAAGAGGTGCGGAGGTAGTGAAGCCATTTAACCAAGGTCTCAGAGCAACAAAACGATGGAGGCGGATTCAAACCGAGCAATCCGACTCCCCAGCCTGCACTCTCTCTACTGCTGGTGCTTAGAGACGAACAGGCAGGGACAGCCTGCACTAATGAAGAGTCACATGTGACCAATCCTTATACTGTGGATGCAGTCAGCTAAGTGACAGTCACTTGCAACAAGATCCAGGCCCTATCTAGGAAAGGAGAAAATGCCTGCATGTAAATAACTGTCACACTCAGGTCAGCAAGCTGGCCCAGGCCCAGCGGATAGAAGTGCTCGCTCCCAAGTCTGGCGACCTCCATTTGATCCTCCCGTGGTAGAAAGAACTGACTCTCACAAAGTACCCTCTTGTGTCTGCAAGCATGGTACATGTGTGAGCCCCACAGCAAATACATAAGCAGAAAAACAATGTTTTATTTTGCACACAAAATGGGAAACAAAATATTCAAAGCAGTATTATAGAAGGCTTAGTCTGCATATAAAGGTGAAGGTGGTAT